GAAAGTACGCAACTTTGTGAGGTACCTGCTCCAGGCTCCTCAGAGAAAGACAAGCTCCCTCCACTGTCAGGGAAAACTCACAGGTCCAGGTCATCAATTCATTCCAGTCCAACTGTATGTCCCTATTTTAAGTCTGAGGTTCCTCTTTCCAGGTTCAAAAGCTTAACTTTCATATGAGAAAACTGGCCAAGCTGGGATTTCCAATGATGCTGTAATCTGGTGATTAGACAATTAAACTTCGATTTTTAATAATATCAAATCTGTGTGAAGGGAAAAAAAGATCATGTTAGGACTATGTTAGGGCTACTCTGGAAGCTCTTTCATGATTAGGCCAAGAACTGGACCAAGAATGTAAGAACCTTAGCTTTCCATTTTGTCTGTGAACATTCCACACCACTCAGAAATGTCTATCTCACACCCACAGTCCTTACAATAAGTTGCTGCCTTCAGTGCCAAGTGAAGCAGCTGTTTGGGCTCCCAACCACATGCCTCAGTTGGCATTTCATCACAATCAACTATTTGTGATCATTTGATTCTGATCCCATGGAATGCCATGGATTCCTAGTCTTATGTTTTCCATTACTAATGGGTTCAGGCCTAACCAAGAAAAGTGTCTGTATTAGAGAGTCTCTCACAAGACTATTTCTATATGAATTTTGTCAGTCAGGATCCAGGCAAGAGAAAGAAACCACACAATCACTGAAATAACAAAATTGCAAATGTCAGGAGCTGTTAACCATGTAAAAAGGGTAGTTCACCACTAAAGGAAGAAATTTTAAAGTATGGCAGAAAGGTAGTGGTCATCACAAACTATGGATATCACTTCTTAGACTAAGGAACGAGTAAACACAGGTATACTTAGGAATGTAGAAAAGAACTACAAGAAGAAGATTCAGGCCTCTTAGGAAGTGGCTCAATTGCTTTAAAATGTTACCCACCACTGGGGTGAAGTCACTACCTCCATGTCCCTTGCTGGAGCCATGAGAGCAATCTACTGCCTAGAGAAGGGTGGTAGGGTCACACCTATCTGAGTGTTCTTTTTCTCTGTTGTGGTGGAAATTATAAATAGTCAAGGAATAACTCCTTTAATGTTGGGAGTCCAACGTCCAAGGCCTTACAGCTCAGGGGCTTCCAGTTCTGGGCCTTGTGGCTCTAGGCTTTAAAAGCCTGAGGTTTATTGCTTTGAGCTTTTAAAGACTGAGGATTTTTGGCAGTAAACCTTGAGACTACAGGCTTACTGCCCTTAGGCTTTCAAACCCAGAGATTTAACAGCCCTCAGGACTTAAGTCAGAGGCTTAACTCTCTGGGCTTTAATTGCAAGTGACCTTGTACCCAAAAGTTAGTGTTCTAACTCCAAGTTTTCGCCTTTGGGGCCCTCAGTGCTTAATCTTCTGTGGCTCTCTAGAATTTTCCCAGCAGCTGGGGGAGGGGTGGCTCTTTGCCTTTTGTGTTCTGTCTTCTCAGCTCTTCTCAGACTTTTCCCTTCCAACATTTCTATGGTCACTCATAGTCACAGTTCCCAACTCTCTGCTGGAACTCTCCAGCGGCTTCCTAGGATCTGAGTAAGCCAAGAACACATGGCAGACCTATAGACTCTGACATCACTCCCCAACCACCTTGTAAGTGACAATACCAAGTGTCTGAATGCCCCCGGGTTCAGTCTGCTCTAAGTTCCACCACCTGCCATAAAGGTGACAAGCCATCAATAAAGAGCTTTTCTGAAGGCTTTTGTTGGGGCCTTCTTTACAAGAGAGCTAGCATACAGGAGGGAAGCCTCTAAGACTGGTCTGAGAGAAGCAGGGCACTTATTGACCAGAAAAGGGACATGATATCCTTGTATCCAGCTTCCAGTTCTGTCCATTCCAAGCTTTTAATATATAGTTTTCCACCTGCCAATCACAGCCTTTTTACTCTCCAGTCTTGGTAATCCCATTCAGCACACCCTGTGTGCCAGTGAACAAGACCCTAACAGCCTGGTCTATAAAGCTAGCTCCAGGACAACTAAGGCTACACACTAAGAAATCCTGTCTTAAGAAGAAAAAAAAAAAAAAACCAAAGTGCTAGGTTTCATTCTATGTTGATCTCCCATACCTGCATCTTCCACCTCCTGTCCCCATTCAGATGGCCCCTTTCCTTTTCCAAAGTGGCCCCTTCTGCCTTCTGCTTTCTTATGCAGAGAGAGAGAGAGAGAGAGAGAGAGAGAGAGAGAGAGAGAGAGAGAGAGAGAGAGAGAGAGGCAGTAAGAATAGGATAGACCATGTGGATCAGACAATAGCCCACTGGAAAGCCCTAGACTTGCTTCTTAGCCCTCGGGAGATAATTCTAAGGACCACAGTGCTCTCTTCAACCATTAGGTTGCTTGAAAGCATCTTCCCCATAGGGAACCTCCAGTTCTTCATAGCAAATACCTCTATCCCCCAGCCCAGCATGGCTCTTGACTACTCCACCTTCTGGCCTCCCCTGGATTGCCTCTCCTGAAGCACTTCCTTCCTCCTTTCCCACTGTGCTTCCCACTAGCCCTTGAGAAAAATGGTCACCAGTCTCCTTCTGGGATTTCCTTGTTCCATAGCTATAAGTCAAGGTCAAACTCACTCACCTACAAGGGACAAGGCGGTGTTCTTCCAACTTTATTCACATGCTAAATGCATGGGAAATCCTTTGCTTTTACAAAAACAAAAAACAAAACAAAAACAAAAAGCACAATATCAGGTTTTTGCCTTGACTAAAATAGCTTTCATCTTTCATGTTCACAATATGACAAACAGAAAGAAGAAAAAATAATAAAGAAAAAGCAGAGCATGAAAAGAAAGCTACTTTCTAGTCAATGTCCGAGTGGGCCGTGGCCTGTTGTTGCTGGATCTTCTGACTTTTCAGAAGACAAAACTTCCAGTGTTTGGGGGGTGGGGTGTTATTTAAAATGTTAATCTCTACCTTAAAACAATTTCAACTTTTGCCAAGACTAAAGCACTTCGCTGGATCCTTACTGACATGCTACTTGTGGCACTGTAAATTGGAGTAGGTGTTTATCTTATTGTGTTTGCTTAATTTACAACTGGTGGCTATGTAATTACGCCTTTGATAGCGATCAATCATTTGTTTCTGCACACACTCACTGTATTGTGGTGTATCTGGTTTTTAGCCCATCTTTGCAACAGGTTGCTCATAGTGCCTTAAACTGAATCCACTCTCCGTATCATGGTGTATTTGTTTCTCAGTCCACTTTTGCCACACACACTGCCCATAGTGCCCTAAGGTCAAGCTACTTCTCTTCCTCTACTACAAAAATAAAAAGGTGAAGATATGTGCTTTCAAAACAGAAGGGTGGATCAAGCTAGAGCTTAAAGTATTTCAACTTGAAAGTTTTGCCAGTGATCTCACTGCAAGTCTGTGTACAATGAAGTAGTAAGTATAGTCAGCATGCATGGACACAAAGACACATGACTGTGATGAAAACACAGGTCACAGTGAGTCACCACACCCAGCACTGCCAGAGTTCCTTCCACTCTGCTAAGTCTGTTCTGGAGGATTCCTCACGCTGAATCCCAACCATTTGCAGCTTTCCTATCAATATTACCTTTCATTATATCATAATTGCATGTAATTCACTTTTCCTGTAAGAGCTGGGACAGTCTCTCACATCAGGCCTAGCACAGTATCTCGATAGCAATAAGGAAAGGGTGATTGCCTGAATCACTATCATCATCTAAATAATAGCTACCACTTCCAGAGCATTTGGCATGCACTGAGCAGTTTACCCATTATTTATTACCCTGAAGGCTTTTCCCAGACTGGAGCACACAATCTGAAGCCAACCTGCAGTTATCCTTACTTAACTTCTGCAACCTTACTTTTGTTTCTCCAACTAGAGCTTGGGACTTTTTGATATATTTATTCTTCCCCACCCCACCCTAGTGCAGGTGTTCGAACCTAGGGCAAGGTTCTCAACCTCCCTAGGTTCCTTTGACCCTTCAACACAGTTCATGCCATGGTGACTCCCAAACATAAAATTATTTCATTGCTACTTTACAACTGCAATTTTGCTACTGTTAGAAATCCTAATGCAAACCATATGGTATGTGGTCCAAGGGTTTCGTGACCCATAGGTTGAGAACCTCCTATATTCTAGGTAAGCACTCTACCACAGAGCTGCTTCCTCATTCCCTTCTGTACTTTTTTATTTTTGAGGCATTCTAAGTTTCCCAGGTTGGCCTTGAACTTCCTCTGTAGCTTGGAACTTAGGATCCTCCTTTCTCCAGAGTATCTGGGGTTAGAGCAGCTAGGGTTCCAGGCTTATGATAACCAAGAGGAGCCTCTAACAGCTTCTGGCTTCTGTGCAGAATGTCTGCCATCTGTCTCTATTAATGCAGACATCCTCTCCATTTTGTACTTGGGAAATAGGAAGTTAGTGGACCAAAACCTCGCAGTTCCTCCAGGTGAAAATTGACTTGCATACATTCAATCTCAGGAAGTACATTGTGAAACTTGTATTTACACTTTAGGGTTAATGTGTTGAATATTTTTATATTCATGAGGAACTCCAGGGATGGGGAGGCAAAATAAAAGGTGGTTTTCATTGCCCTCTTACTGACGTTGGTAAAGAATTTTTGTTGCAATAAGAAAGCCACTTCCTCTAACTTTCATCCCCACACACATCTGGGTCTTTCCACATCCTAAGAAACCTCTGAAGCCTAGGTTGGCTGAGTAGTCAGCACTAGATGCTCACAGTGAAAGAGGGGTGTACCACCAGACCCCTTAATTGGAAATCTGACAGGAGTGGGGTGCAGGAGGGCCTTTGTCAATCGCTTAGAGCATCTTTACAGAGCCACCAGACCCTATAGGCCTCTGCAACTGTCCCCCCCTTAGGCTACCTTCCGATTGCACGTGGCCTCCTTTGGCCTGAATCCTCCTCCCACTGCAGATTCCACGTGAAGAACTTCAGCTGCTTGACTCGCGATCGCCCCGCCCCGCCCCGCCCCCGGGCTCGCCCATTTGGCCAGCGCTGATCTAGGCTTCTTCCCCGGAGCCTGCCGGCTGCTCGCTGCTGCGGCTGCGCCTCCTGGTTCCCCTCACCGCTGCCGCCATGCCTGGAGGGCTGCTTCTCGGGGATGAAGCCCCCAACTTTGAGGCCAATACCACCATCGGCCGCATCCGCTTCCACGATTTCCTGGGAGACTCGTAAGTAGCCACTGCGTCGCCCTGCCAGATGGCGGGACCCCAGAACTGCCTTCGCCGCTTCTGTTTTCCGCGCTGCGCTCGGCCCCGGCGCGCCGCTAGCTTAGCCCTTCACCGGTTCCCGCACGTGCCCGGTGCCGGAGTCCCGCCGAGCACCACCGGGGCGTTGGTGGGGACCTGCGACCTATGGCCGGCCCTTCGCTGATCACCAGACCCTTCCCTGACCCAACGTGGCTGAGCTGCTTGGGGGAGGGGGGTTCCTTGCCATGGACGGTCTGTTGTCCATTTAACCTGGCTTTGTAAACAATGCTCACTTGTAACGCAGTCGGACAGAAAACCCAGGGGAGGTGGGGCAGCCATGTGCGGTGCTGGAGGTCACTCACAGGGACGCTTGCCCAGGATCGCACTGCCCGCCCTCTCCCCGCTCTAGAATTTGCACCCGGTGCTGAAGGCCATAGTCAGAGTGCACAGCCACAAATTAGAGGATGGTTCGGCATTATCTGAAGTCCTGCTTGACTTCGGGGTATGGTAGTTTCGGACTTCTGAAATTTTTAAAAACTACCATGTGCCAAGTAAGTAGCCAAAAGACTTTTTGTGCAGAACCTTCGTCAGTGGTCAAAATAAGATTTTGTATAACAGCTTTGGGAGGAACCAGGAACACTTTGTGTGGGTGTGGCCGTCATTCCAGAATAAGCAACAGTTTGAGGGAGGGGGTTGTTCAGTGCCTGCGACCATTTTGCCACCATAGGCCATTCCAAGGCTAGGACACGTGTACCTCCCTTCTTGAGACTCTTTTGTTTCCCAATGGTCCCCTTCCCCCTCTGCCTTGCCTCCAGCGCCTGGCCTTTGATGCTGATAACCCCCGGTGGTGGCCATTAATGATAGAAGAGTACACCAGTGTTGCCTTAGCTTTACAGCTCCTGAATGCACAAATTGCAAGATGCTTAGTTTCAGTTCGCATTTTACATACGTGTCAGGTTACATTGTGGCTCTGGGGTTTCAGTGCCTTACTACATTGTATGAAGAAACTCCTGGGTTTGTGAAGACTGCAGTTGATAAAACTCATCTGTGATCAGGCGGGGAAACATTGGAGGTGAGGGTTCTTGCCTGGCACCCGTTTACAACCGCTGACTATGGGAAAGCAGAGCTTTTCAAAGAGAAAGGCAGGCTAGAAAAAGTAGCAAATGGGACTCTCAGACCCTGTGGGAGAAGACTAGAGATAAGCATGACTGCTCGACTCATACTCAGAACCTGGGTGTTAATATTTACCCAGTACTGCAGAGGATTTACACAGTGTGCCTTCCCATTCCTGCCTGCAGCCCATGCCCCCATGAAATGTGAGATTTCACTGGAACTATTCGTCTGTATGGGTTACAGATAAATAGAATCTGAAGCATGAGTACTATGAAGATAACCACCGTGGAAGGGGGGGAGGGCTGTCTTTGTGATTGTCTATTGACCTAGATCTTTCTAGATTTAATTTAAAATATTGTTTCCCAGCTGCACCCAGATGTGTAGGCCTGTTATTTCAGCTACTGGGGAGACAGAGGCAGGAAGATCCTAAAGTTAAGACCAACCTGAGCAGCTCATTGAGGCTCTCTCTAAATAAAAATGCACACCTTTAATCCCAGCACTGAGGAGACAGGCAGGTGGATCTCTGAGTTTCTAGGCCAGCTTGGTCTGCAAAGAGAGTTCCAGGATAGAGAAACCTATTCTCAAACCTCCCAATCCCCCACCCCCCCCAAAAAAAAAAACAGTACAATAAGTAAATGAAATGTCATGTTCTTAGGAAGATAAGGTAAACTCACAAAGAAGCCTAAAGTGGGCTTAGAGTGAAGTATGATACTCCTGTCATACCTGAGACTTTTCCACTCTATGTAGCATTACAATTCATGGAATTTGCTTATTTTTCCAAACGCCATTCTGTAGATAAACTCAAGTCAAACTCCTTTGGAGAAAAAAAAAGCTTTAAACATTGCAGATGTCTGCTCTACCTCAGCCAAATAGAAACAAGGATTTGGTGGAGTGTGAGTTTGCTTAGCTTTGTGTGGCCAGTGGATGTGCAAGAGTGTGTCAGAAGTATGTCTCAGGGTTCCTTCATAATCAAAACACCTGTACCAGAGGTTTTCTGGTAGAAATAGAGACCATTCTCTTGGGAGGAGGAAACCTTTAGCCCTTTGAAAATGAGGGCAAAATGAGATAATGTAATTGGATTTCTCCAAAGAGCAGGGCAGGCAGGCCAGGGTGAGACATTCTTGGAATACTCTGAGATACACTGAAGTATGTGAAGTGACATAAAACCAGTACCCCAGCATGACTCAGCAAAACACATTTGCCTCAAAATTTGAAAAAAAAAAAAAGACTTCTGATTCATCACTCCTAAACATTACATATAGAAATGCTCTGTTCCTTTTTTTCTTCTTTCTTTTTTTTTCTTTTTCTGTGTCTTCTAGAGCATTTCTCTAAGTTGAACCTGAACCTTACATGGGTTCTTTTCCATAGAATCTAAAACCTAAATGTCATAGCTAGATTAAACCATGAAATCTTACTTCCCCATACTAAGAACTAAACATCACATACCTCCACAGTCTTCAAGTATAACCTAGCTCATTCTTAGGACCTTCCAGCCTTTTAAGAAGGCGGCCTTTAAGAAGGGAGCTGAGTGGTAGGTGTCTATGGAAGGTAGTAGCTCTGTCTGCCTTGTTCTTCATGCTCAGGGAAAGTTGGCAAACCCTCAGCATCTGGGCCAGATTGAGTAATCTGCTGGTTTGAGACCTTGTCCCTGGATGGCTCAAGCAGTGGAGTGTGCAGAACCAAGAGCTATGTTTTCCTTGTTGCTTGAAAGAATACTTTCTGTTGCCAAGGAGAAGGAAATAGTACCTCCCAAGTTTCTTGGGAGCTTGAGTTGTCCTCAGAATTTGTACAACTTTACCCTTAGACATTGATTTGATTGTAATCTTTACCTAAGAATTATAGGTGTGGAAGTCTACATTGTAGGATATCTGTGTATTTTCTACCTGCTTGGTCTAAAGTAGGAAACTGCAATGGTTTTATAATTTTGGCATGGTGCAAATGTAGATGCCTTGTTTAACAGGTTAGAACAGTCAATTGGCTTTATGAAAGATTTGCTGTTGCCAGAAAGCCAAGTGCTGACCTAAATTTTACCTACAATTCAAGGACAGAGCCCTATCTGTTCTGAGTTACATAATTGTTTATTATTGTACCCAGATATCTGTTTGTATTTGGGGCATAGTAGGCACTGAATATCAAAGTTTGTGCTAGAAAACAAACAAAGGGCCTAAGAAATATTTCAATAGGGTGCTTGGCTTGAGTAGCACACATTTTATTGACTGAAAAGGAGTCATGGTAACTCCATATTCAAGAAAGGTGTGATGGCTGGGTACGGTGTGGTGGCATACCCAGCATTCAGAAGGCAGAGTCAAGACCACTCTCTTGAATTCAAGGCCAGCCTGGCCTATAGATGAAATTCAAGGATACAGAAGACCTGTCTCAAAAAAAATTTTTTTAAAAAGTAACACTTTAAAATGAGTCCTTTTGAGCCATATATCTTGATTTTTATATTTGAGATGTAAAATTGTATATATTGGTAGACACTTGCTGTCAACTTGGGCTTCTGTGGAGGCAAGGTTAGAACTAAGATGTTTAAATGTCTTCAGTAAGCAGATGTTTGAAGGCAGAAAGCCTGTTTTAAATACAGATGTTGAGTGTTGTCACTCTGCATGATGATGGTAACTGTCCGTTCCATTGTGTTCTTCATTCCAGATGGGGCATTCTCTTTTCCCACCCACGGGATTTCACCCCAGTGTGCACCACAGAGCTTGGCAGAGCCGCAAAGCTGGCGCCAGAGTTTGCCAAGAGGAATGTTAAGTTGATTGCTCTCTCCATAGACAGTGTTGAGGACCATCTTGCCTGGAGCAAGGTATTGTTCTATCTGATTTTAGGTATATATAAAGCCCTCCTTTCCTGTAATCTCCCATACAGTTTCTAACAGCCTTAATACTTTCCAAAAGGCAGTACGCAGTGAGGAGGCTGTGGGACCAGGCTGTTGGGAAAGTGCTTATAATGGCAAGTGTCTTTTTATGTGCTAATGAGTTATCTGGTGGTCTGAACAGAACCAAGCTGGATTAGGGATTGAGACTTTAATCCCTACCCAATCTCTGGGGAGAAATAACTGTACACTTCTTGGTGAGCAGCAATGTTATGGAAGTCTTTGTGTTCCTTAGTAAGAGAATAGACTCTTTGCTTTCTCCCCTTCTATATCAGAAGAATCAATTGGCATGCACTTTGATTCTGAAGCTATTATATCTTAGTTAGATATAGTGTAATGCGCGGTTTCCGAGATAAAAGTGTGCATAATATTGGGGTTCAGAGTTCACTAGTAACTGAAAGTCACACTTCAACTTTGTAATTTTCTCTGTGTTGCTGTTTCCAATGACAGATTCTCAGTCACCGTCTTCCCTGGCTTACCCTTAGCATTCAGCTCAACTGATCTCTCTAAACCCTACCTCGGTTTTCCTGGCATTCAGGATGGTGCCTCTAGCTGTCCATGCCTAGAATTCTTCACTGTCTCTGAGTTCCTAATTTGTATTAAAGTTGTCCCCAGCTTATTTCATGGGCCACTTTTCTTTTCTATCTGTACTTTTCTTCCTTGATGAGCTCTTGCACTCACATCTTCAGATAGCATTCATGAATTGCTTCCCTTCTAGCCTCCAGGTCAGTAAAGTCAGCCTCTTCAGCATCTCCTTTGGATGTCTAGACACTCTGATCTTAGCATATATATATCTAATATTGAACAATCTAAGATTGTTTTCATCTCCACTAATAGCAGCTATATTGTTGGTGTTGCTGAGTTGAAACTTCAGAGCCATTCTTAACTCCTTGTGTTTTGACACCCCATGTGTGGTTTACCCACACACTCATAGGCACTGCGAACTAAATATATCCATCTGCACTGCCTATACTGCTTTGGTATTTCACCTCAGATGCACCTCATTAAGACCGCTTTTTGTCCTTATCTAAAACTATGACACATGATGACACTCTATCACCTCCTTAGCCCTTGTCACTGTCTAAATCTCTGCATATTGCTTATCTAGTCACTATGTTTCTCCCACTGGGGGCATAGGACCCAGCCGAGGTGGACTCTAGCTCACTGCTACAGAAGTACTCAGTATAGGTGATGGTCAGTATTCGCTGAATAGAAAGACTGAAATTGTCTGCTTTGGACAGAAGTATTTACATGTATTTGGACAGGATGTTTAAATCGACTTTGCTATAGTATACCATGTAATACCTACTCTGTGTGTGTGTGTGTGTGTGTGCGCGCGCGCGCGCGCCTGTCTGCGCGCGCATACTGGGTACTGCCAATCATATCAACTGAATAAAAGTTGGCATTTAGGTATGTCCCATGGCCATTTCACACCAATTAATCCCCAATGTCTAGGATCAAAAGGGTGATGGGTAGGAAGAATAAGGAGGGTCGCCATCTTCCCCGAGGTAGATTTTTTCTCATTCTGTACACCTTGGCAGTGAGTCATAACTAGCATTTCCACAGCCCTTTACCATAAGCCGTTTTTGTAAATGAGTGTTGGAATGACCTCCTCAAGCTCACCCAACTGAAAAGGAAGGTTCCAGCGTGATCTGAACCTCGACCAATGTTTTCGGTGCTAGCTGGTAAGGAGTGAAATTGGCCTGATTTAGGATAAAACAAAGACCAAAGAATGTGGTTCTTTGGTGTCTGTGAGTATAATAATCAAATGACAAGGTCAAGAATTAATGAATATCAATATTAAATCACAGATTGCCAAAAGAGGAGTCCGTCATTACACAGCACCTCTAATGTGCAGAAACATACCTGGGTTCATTTTTTCTGCCTTAGAAGTTTCCAGAACTATGATTGTCTGAAATAGAAAATAAAATCTAAACTTCCAAAAGCAGAGCAAGCTTCCACATGTAGCCAATTCCACAGGAAAGCTCTAGATGTGCTGGCTGGAAACCATACTTGTTATTATTTAGCTAGTGACTAAACATTAGGCAGCCAATGACAACAGCCATGGGTAACTTCAGGTAATAAAATTAATGAATATGTTCAAATCTGTTGCTATCCATTTCATAGTTTTAATGTCACTTTTATCTCCTTTCATCTCTGAAGAAATGCAAAAAAGATTTCCAGTCTGCCCCTGGGCTTCACATAAATAATAAGTACCTTTTTCTCATTTTAAATCCACTTTCCTGTCATTTCCTAAAATCTCCTAGTTAATTTCCTCACTCTCCTATGGTGGTTTATGCATAGACTTACCTACATGTCTCCTTAATATTGCTGTCCCCCCAAATGCCTTGCTTTTCCCAGGGAAAGCCTTACCTGTCTTTCAAAGCTCAGGTAAGTATTCCACCCCTTTCTTTGAGCTTTCCCTTACCCTCTGTGTTCTATGATTTTAGAGTTTGGTATGATAAGGGCTTTGGCCTATTATGCCGTTCTCTGCTAATATTCCTGTCCGAGAGTAATGAGAAGTGTCTGTTCATGCATCTTGCTAAAATTCCTTAGATAGCATCATTATGTTGGCTCCCTAGCCTGACAATTCTTAGCTAATGAAATGCAGAGAACTGCATCAGGTTTAAAATTCTTTTTCCCCTTTCTCCTCCATTCCAGGACATCAATGCTTACAATGGTGATGAGCCCACAGAAAAGTTACCGTTTCCCATCATTGATGACAAGAACAGGGACCTTGCCATCCTCCTGGGCATGTTGGATCCAGCAGAGAAGGATGAAAAGGGCATGCCTGTGACAGCCCGTGTGGTGAGTCCTAGCAACCCCATGTAAATGTCAGGCCAACTCAAGGAAATAGACAAGTAATGTCTACCATTATGAGACATCTGTATGCCAGTGACTGTCCTCTGTTATCTATATACTGGTGTAGAGTGGCTAAACTAGTCAGCTAAAATTTGTTTAATTCGTAGCTGTTGGATATGTTCATGCATAAATAAGCAGTTCATCCATAACTGTTCTCTAGAACAGTTTTACCTGTTTTACCTCCTGTCAGCTGTCTTAAAAGCATTGCTGACAGGACAGTCCTGAACTTGTTTGTTGTTTGCTCACTGAGGAACAAGCCTGACCACCCCTAATGCACAGCTGTTTGAGGCCTATATCTCCTCCTCACATTAGCGCTGTGTTTTCGATAGTCATCCCTAGGTGACTTGATACATCTACCTGAGGCTCTTCCCTGAAAATTCATTTCAGGGTTTTCTTTCTGGGACAGCAAACTTTGAAGAGTAACAGAGAAAAAAAGAGTGACCCATGTCCTGGACATTGCTTTGTCTACTCTTCCATTCCTTTATTCTGTTTCTGTTTTTGCATCTTTGAACACTTAATGACTGCAGAGCTTCCTGAGGACTTTGGAACAGGGACCTTTAGAACAATGAACCCCAGTGAATTAAAACTTCTCCAGGAATGCCAGGCTGGAAGGGAAGGACTAAGGCATCCACACCAAAATAGGAACTTTCTTCCTACAGCTCTGATGACTGAGTAGACAGACATGTGTGTATTCCTGGCTCTCCATCATCTTTTCTATAACAGTGTTACACTGGGTTGAGCAAGGTAGCTTAGGAGGTAAGCGTGCCAAACCTGAGGATCTGATTGGATTCCTGGAACCCATACCACAGGCAACCAACTCCAGCAAGCTGACCACAACTATCACACTGTGCATGTGTGTACACCCACACCCTCACACACAAAAAATAACTCTAATTCTTCTTAAATCCTAGAACTGTTAGAGTGAGTAGTGGCTCTCAACCTGTGGGTTGTAACCCCACTGAGGAGTCAAGCGACCTTCTCACAGGGGTTACATGTAGACAATTGTACTATGATTCATAACAGTAGTAAAATTACAGCAATATAATTAACAACTAAATAATAATTGTTATAATGAATAATAGCAACTAAATGGTTCTAAAGTGGGGGGAGGGGTCACCACAACCTGAGGAACTGTATTAAAGGGTCACAGCCTTGGGAAGGTTGAGAAGCACTGTGGCAGAGACTCCCTGGTTTGGCTACCCTGTAATGAAATCCATTTTCCTTTGCCAATTAACTCCTTTGGAATAGGGGGAAATGAGGCAGCAAGTTCACGAACCTGAGTGCCTGGTAATGGCTTTACTGTCAGATACTAAAGCATTCCCTCCCTGTGCGTGTGTGTTTTGCAGGTGTTCGTTTTCGGCCCTGACAAGAAACTAAAGCTGTCTATCCTCTACCCAGCCACCACTGGCAGGAACTTTGATGAGATTCTCAGAGTAATTAAATCTCTCCAGCTGACAGCAACAAAACGGGTTGCTACCCCTGTTGATTGGAAGGTAAAGCTGTTCAAGAACCAGGTGCCCAGCTTACCCAAAAGGTTGGAGGGATAGTCACTAATGGCCTCCTTCAGGATCTGGGTTTCTAGGTGTCTGTATTGTCCCAGTGATCTTTGCACTGCCGAGGCAGGGACTGAAGGATCACAAGTTCAAGCTCAGCCTAGGCTAGTAACAAGGTCCTGTCTCAAAAGTCAGAAAGAATCAAAAGCTTAATTAGCTGATTGTCATCTGTCATGGTGGCTGCTAACTGTTGGTGTACGGATGTTATAGCATTTCTTTTCTCCTAAGCTCCAACCTTTTAAACATATATAGTCTTTGAAACATATAGAGAGAGCTCAGTGTGTATGTATGTGTATGTGTTTGAGCATTTAAGGTAAAGCCCCGTGGTCTCCTGTAGCTCAAGCTGGCCTTAGAGCTCACCATGTTGCCAAGAGTGACCTTGAATTTCTGATTCTCTTGCTTTTACTTCTCAAGTGCTTGGATTTCATGCCCAGTTTTATATGGTCCTGAGGACTGAACCCAGGCAAGCACTCTGCTGGGTGAATTAATCCCCACCCCCACTCCTTTTAAAATATGATCTCACTGTTTATAATGGGCTAGCCTTGGACTCTTAACCTCCTGCCTCAGGTTTCCATGTGCTGCACCACTACACCCAAATTGTTCATAAGCTTTTAATATCTAAGAAAGATACATGCAAAAAAGAAAAAAATAGGGCAAGATAATACACCAAGAGAATCTTAATATCAAATCATGGTTTGTGTTAACCTGGGTGCCAGGTTTTGATTTTTCTAACAGGTAAAGTCATCTACATTTTTAGAAAGTAGGGTTGTGGGGGGGGGGAGGTAAGAAGAAATCTAGCCCAAAACAATCCTGTAAACCAAGGGGGAGGTGTAGAATTCAATTTTAAGGTGTGATGGCTGAAAGGAAAAGTGTCAGACCCCTAAGGCCGAGTTCGAAGCACAAAGGAGAGATTTATTTGCCCCAGAGGGATAAAAGGCAGGGAATAAGAGACGAGAGATAGAGGATAAAGGGGAAGGGATAGTTGTGGAAGGGTGGGACAAAGGACGGCCTCTGGATAGAGACCAAACAAACATGGCCCATAGGTGTTTAATTTTAATTGGGGATGATAAGGCAGCCAAAGGGGGCTTTTGGTTGCTGGGCTTCAATACGTTGATAGCTGGACTTTGGTAGTCATTCTCAGGAGAAGGAAGTGACCAAATAAAGGCATAGAGCTTGGTAGCTAGCCTTAGGAATGTAACCTAGTGGTTTTTAGCAAGGCAGAGGGAAGTGGGGAGAAGGAAAAGGCCTTCAGGGACCATGTTTGCCATGCTCCAGCTGACTAGAGTCCCTTCAATGGTCGGCTATGATGGGATTTAAAACTACTGTTGCTACTTCAAATGGAGAAATACTTTCCTAAACGTGTCAAAAGTCAAAACAAATTAAGTTCCTCAAAGAGGAAAGAATACCAGCTTATCTCCATTGCCACCTTCATTCATCACTGTCCTGTAGTTAATTCTTAAAAAGACCTTTGCTGTAAGATTGAATTGCACCTTCTCCCAACAGGATGGCGATAGTGTCATGGTCCTTCCCACCATCCCTGAAGAGGAAGCCAAACAACTTTTCCCTAAAGGAGTTTTCACCAAAGATCTCCCATCTGGCAAAAAGTACCTCCGTTATACCCCACAGCCTTAAATCTTTGTAGGAGCTGGGGCTGCAGCTGCTTGGGCACAGTGGACCTGAGGATGCCAGCTGACGTCATGTGTCCTTACACAGTTCCATAGAAACATCCTAGTATGGTCACAGCCAAAGTCATTAGGTCACTATACCACTGGCTCATTAAATGAAAATGGCATCAAAACTTTCTTGGGATTCTTTACTCTGTGCCTTCTTCTACAGCATTATGCCCCGGCATTCATCTCAGGGTTCTACTCACCGGCTTTCTCTGAAATACACTCTGTATTGGAGACTCAGATCTTGTTAGGTCCCTGCAGGGTTTGTGATCAGCAAGTTAAGAGTGTTGGGTGGTGGTAGAGGAAGCCCACTTGGCTCCATGGTAGAATGGTACTCACATTTTGTAGCTTTCCTAATTGAATTTTCTGTTACCTATTTTGGAGAATAGTAAAATGGGGTGGGGGACTTTCAATTCTATACTTTTGGTAGATAATAAACTTGGGAACAGCATGGGGAAAGTTCTAACTATTTTGCTATAAGAAATCTTGTGGTGAGTTTCTATCAAATGGAGACGCTTCCTTTGCCCTGTCAAAGAGGGAGGTGCACCCAAGGGTGTGAGCAAGATGGTGCATGTCCCTCCTGGTTTTTCCTGTCGATCTGCTCTGATGATACGTGCATGTGAACACACCATGTAAAGGCAGGTGGTGACAATGTTTTATCACTAAACTGTCCTAGTAGTAAGTTGCCATTTTCCAAATTCTGCTTTTTGGGGTTCAACAAATAAAATCCTTCGTTGAAACTGGATTAGAAAATCATGTTGTCACATTTTGAAGTACTAGCTTAGACGACTCACCCTAAGAGGCAGAAGCAGGCTTCCTTCTTGCGAGGATTGGCATGGGTATTTTTCTCCAAAGACAAATAAATAAAATTTCATGTGAAGCAGGAGCCACTGAAGGATAGGATTCTCACTTGTGTGTTGGGCCACTTTGTTGCTTCCTGTTTTCCTAGAGTCTTGTGAGTAGGTATGTAGGTTACAACCTTAAGCTAATGTCTTAGCAGTATACAGAGTTTTGAGGAGCTGGAGAGATGGCTCAGTTAAGAGCACTGGCTGTTGTGTCTTCGAGAGGACCTGAATTCAATTCCCAGCAATTACATGGTGGCTCACAACCACCTCTGTGGGATCCGATGCCCTCTTCTGGCATAAAGGCATGCTAGAGCACTAATACATAAAGTAAATCTTTAAAACTTTTTTTTTAATTAAAAGAGCTTTGTGATGGTATGTTTTATTTTTCTCTACTCCACACTGAATGGTTTTGGGCTTACACGATGCTACTAGATCAGGATAGAAAGGTGTTTGTGGGTCTTAGTATGGATTGTTGTAACAAAGATTGTTGTTGAGTGGAGGGTGTTCATTTCTGGGTGTCCAGCTGGGCAGTGGTGGATCTTGGTTCTGGTGAGGGGTCACTTCTGTGTTGTGGACATGACCAAGACAGAGACCGTCTCCTGACCTAGGAGCCTCTGTCTCCTGTCATTTCCCTACCTGTCAGATACCTCACTGCTGCCTCTCTTCTCCCTTGAACGTTCATTCATTTTTGTCCTTGCTTTCCATGAGAAGTCTGGCTTCAATTTCCTGTTGACATTTTTGCTTTTTGTTTGTCACATTATCTTGCTTTGTAGCCCAGGCTGGACTTGAAATCAGTCCAGCTGTCCCAGCTTCCCAGATGTCAGGATTTGCAAGAGAATGCCACCATGCCCTGTGGTGGCGCTTTAATGACAAATCCAAAATCTACATTACCATTGTTGACTACTCAAACTTGAATCTTGTGTTTCTTGACCAATGGAATGCTTATCACTGAATTAGCAAATTCAAAGCCAAATTCATCACCTTTTCCCTCATCCCCATAAACCTGTTACCCCTCATCACTCAGGCTTCTAAATCTTGGTGTTTTGGCTGTTCTGCCCACATTAATGATGTCAGAATAAAAAATGCTTTTTAAAAAATGAACTCTGGTACTCTTCACCAAACACTTCTGAGTCTAAGGCTTGGTACAAGTGTCCGTTCCAAACACAAAATACTCAATGTTCAATTTCCAGGGCAGGGATTAACCTGAACACATTTTAAAATACATTGTTGGGTGAGGAGAGTAAATTTTTACATAATTTTTTTTTAGAATGAATTTCATTATCCATATAAAGATTTGTTTCTTGAAACTGAGTAATGGCTATAGGAAGTTTCCTTTTTTGTTTGTTTGACATGAATTGGGAACTTAATAGCCCAGACTCCCAACTGCCAAGATTCAAGGTTCATTGCCACCCCCAGCTCCCCCCCCCCCCAAAAAAAAAAGAGGAAAGGGGAGGCAATTCATATGGGTCTTCCAAAACTAAGAAATGTTTTAGTTAAAGCAGATAGCCTTCTATGATGAGCACAGTTCAGGGCCCAGCCCATGGATGGTACCACCCCCAGCAGGCTGGTGACCTTCCTACATCAATTAACAGTTGTGGCAATCCCCACCACAAACAGGCCCATAGGCTCCTCAGATAAATTTTACCTGTGGCAAACTGGCTATTAAAACTAAGCAGCCTTTCATCTAGAATGAAAGCCCTTCACTGACATGAGAGGCCAAGGTTGAGGAAGTGGAACACAAGAAGGGACCTGATTCATGACACTTTGAGTGGCAACACCAATCTGCCCCACCTATTTCCAGACTTGTCACCACCCTTTGTGGTCAAGTGCAGCCAGGTTTCTGTAGTGTGCAGTCACACCTGGCATTTTCTGACATGGTGAAGGCCACTCAGGACCTACCCTGAAAAGGTTTGAAAGCTCAACTCCCCCCACCACCACCACCACCAATTTCTTTTTTCTATTACCTCTGTTATTATTTTCCCCAAACTATCATATATTCTCAGTCTGGTTGAAATGATAAGGAATAATAGATTCTAAGAAGTTTTTCATTGGCCATTCAACTTTATTTGACTTTTAAAAATAAAATGGAAAGTTACATCAAATGGGGTTATGAAATGTAAGAGTGTTAATTTCTCCCATACTTTACTTTCAGTAACCAAGGTTGTGGGACATTTTCCCACTTTCCAGTACATACTAAATTAGAGAAGGAAGGTACAAAGTGTCAGAGGAGCTCGTTATGGCGGTTTCACAAGTATTGTGCTTCAGACTACCACATTTATTGCACTTATCATTTGCTAATTTACTCTAGTAAGCCGGGGAGGGGTTCCTTTCCTCAGTTTTAAAGAACTGAGGAATTTATTTTATCCTGAAGAAGTTTCAGTATCTCAAGTCTAGTGCAACTATTGAAAATCTGAAGTGGTTGTGGCACTCCATTGATCGATTCTAAAATGAGCGTAGCAGCAAGCAGTTTGAGTGGTTTCTGAGTCAACATTTGTGCCAGCTGTCAGCTCCACGGTTAGCTAGCTGACTGTCTTGCTAAATAGCCTTTCTAAAGAGATGTCCACCTTCAAACTGCAAAAGAAAGTCAAAAATATTAGACTTCAGGAAAAAGATTCTTACCAATTAAAAGGAATAAAATTTTACTGGAAGGTTGGTTTCTATCTTATTATCTATATTTTCCCCATGTGTGTGGCTATTGCTTGTAGAACCCAGATCCCCTGGAACTGGAGTTGCAGATGCTTGTGAGCCACTGTGTGGGTGCTGAGAACCAAACTTGGGTCCTTAGCCACTGAGCCATCTCTCCAGCCCCACGAGTATATTTCTATACGAATTAATTTAATTAGCAATTGATAGATACTACATTAATTCAACTGTCAAAGGTGTGCTTAAGGAAAAAGAAGTGCCATGAAACAAATTCTAGTTAATCTTATGACTGATTACAGAGTAACTGGGAACTTTTTCCATAAATTGTGGAAGTGAAATTTTTTTAGACAATAGTGGGGCCTATGGGCTGGGAATATGACACACTGGCACTCTGCTCCTAGCCGATACACTGGCACTAACTAGCATGCTCTGAGGCCCTAAATTCATTCAGTTCCCCAGCCCTGCAAACAATAGTGATAATGATGATGCCTGGAAAAAGGGAGTAGTGAGGAGCCCAGTTGTTTGATTCTCAGGACCTCCACCTGTAAAATGAGGAGAGGAAGACCCTAGAAAAATTACCTACAAAGAGCTGAGTTGGTCGTTTTTAAAGGAACTATTGCCTTTATGACCTTGCTCAGGGCAGCTGCCATCTTCTGACAAGCACACTGCATATCACCTTGATAGTAAATATAGGTAACAGGACTAACTTACTAAATTTTCTCTTAGAAGAGACTTGCATGGACATCTCCTTGAGAATGGAGTGTGGTGTGTGTGTGTGTGTGTGTGTGTGTGTGTGTGTGTGTGTGTGATGTGTATATGTGCCAGAGCTCAGGTGTGCCGCCACACCAAGCTTTTATGTGAAGACTGAGGATCCAAACTGAGGTTCTCGAGCTTGTAGAGGAAACACACTAGTTACTGAGTCATTTCCCCGGCCTTCAAAGTAACACAGTTCAAAACAATGTTCCTTGATTTTAGTTTTCAAGTAATACAGATTAGCTTTGTCTCAATTAGTCCAACTTAGTGAGTGCATCAAGGCATCTTTTCTCACTGCCTACATTTTGCCCCTTCATCTCACTATGTATTTATATAATTTATTTAGAGACAGGGTCTCAGGCAGTTTGGCTTCCCTCAGTCTTGCTAGGTAGCTAAGAAGGACCTTAAACTCCAGGTCCTTCAGCTTCTGCCTCCCAAGTGGTGGGACTCTGGCCAGCTGGAATGTGGCTGACACCCCTCTGGCAGGCCTTACCCTTATCCCCATTCCCTTTGCCTTGCTAAAAACTGTTAGGTTGCATTCCTAACCCTCGCTACCAAGGTTTATTCCCTTATTTGGCCACTTCCTCCTCCTAAGCCTGATTATTAAAATACAGCAATCAAAGTATTGAAATCCAGCAATCGAAAGCCCCTTTGACTACCCTAAGTAACATGCCCAATCAAAATTAAATACCTCATCCTAACACAGGTTTTCCCCTTGTACCTTTAAACTGCTATCCATATACCCATGGACCAATTCTGTCTCCTCTGGATGCAGAGGCAGTCCTTTGTCCTTCCAGGACAAATACCCAACCCCCCCTCCTTTGTTCCCTTCCCCTTCTGCCTCTTCCTCTGTCTCCTGTCTTTGTCCCTTATCCCTGCCCTCTGTCCCTCTCAGGTAAATAAATCTCCTTTATGACCAGAACTCAGTTTTAGGGGTCCTGAGATGATTCTTGTCCTTTCAATAGGCACACATCACCATGCCTGACTTGTGCAATTTGTTTTAGCTATGCAGATTAATAGTCACAATAAGAAAAATCTATTCCAAGTGTCCAGTTTATTACCTCATCTTTTCTCTTCCAGTTATACTCTTTCTTGGCCGTTCGAAGTCCAGTGTTGACTGAGGTGAACAGAAAAAAAAAAAAAAAAAAAAAAAAAAAAGAATTAGGAGTATTTGAATATCAGTCAGCTCTCTCCACATAAGTCTTTCCTTCCCCCTTGCATTTCCAAACAGGCTGTTTACTTTCTTCCCTCGGAGTTCTATAATAAGCTCCTAAAGGTCTAGCACACAGGCTGGCAAGCAGGTCCCACAAACAAGCAGGCTGTATACCGGGGAGAGGGTACAGTGTGGACTGCATAGGAAGGCACCTGCTCCTACTACAGAAATCAGTCGATATCACCCTGACTGTTGCCACATATGGGAATGAGGGCTGCAGACTGTAGACCTTTTTTTTTTTTTTTTTTTTTTTTTTTTTTTTTTTTAATGAAAACCTCAATATACATTT